AGGGAAATCCTGTTAGATGTGCTGCTGTCATTTACCAGATCAGCTCCTGTACCATTTCTCCAAAGAAAGAAGTCCTGTCCTCCATTTGTTGTAGTTTAGCAGAGTGGCCAGGGAATGTTATAGGCTAAATTCCCCATCAGAATGAGAGTACTGATTCCAGAATAGGGCTGTCAAACTCCTGGCCCATGGGCTGGATGTGTCATGCGCTGGCCACGTCCAGCCCCAGTTTAGCAAAGGGGGAAAGAAGTCTCAATACATCACGTGACGCCACTGTCATGACACGAGTTTGACACCCTCAGAAGAACATACATCAAGGCTGATATTATGCAGATTAAGGCAGAGTAACCAATGAGACTTGAAGACAATGGGAGAAAAAGGAAATACCATGATGACTCTGGTAGGAATACACACCCACACACCCATGCAGAACAAATCAGGGATTGGGGCATAAAGGCATAGCACAGTTCAATTAATAAAATAATGCAGCAAAAAGATCCCAATCTTCATTTAGTGGTACTGATCCTAATGATGACTGTCTTCTGATTCTCTGACCCTTCTTTGGGTTGGAACAGTTTTCTTATCTGATCAAAGATTATGGGAAGAAATATCTTCTCTTGTGATGAAGGACAAAGACAAAAAAGAGCTGCTTCCTTCCCTTTTAAGAGCTTATCTGTGACCAACTGGAGAAAGAATTTTTTCAAGAATAATGTACTTTCCTAACATGTTTTCAAAGTCATTCAGCAAGTGCCTTGAACCTCCTGCTGATTGGTTGAAATCACTGGCCCAAAATGGAGGACACCAGGGCTTGACATAATCCAAACCATTCAACAATACCATGGACTGATTCCACAGATCTCTGTTTGTTTCCCACGTGGACCTGATAGCTGTGAATCACTACTTTCAGCATTCCTCATTCTAGTACCTTCTTGATTTGGATTATGTCAGAATATCATCAGAGACAAATTCCTTAGCAGTATCAAATGTTAAGTATATTTCCTCCCTTTCCAACTTCATAAACTGATCTCCCCAATATTCTATAGATTTTAGAGGTTTATTGGTTATTATATTTTTAAATACCTACAAATTAGCTACTAGCTAATAGGTATGTTACTACGTGTACAGAAATGTGTGAATAATCAGTATGGAACTGTACTTAATAGTCTTCCTTTGCCTTGCAAAAAGTAAAAAAAATGAGTTGTCCTACACTAGGTCTTTTGTAAACAACTCCAGATAAATGAAATTATTCATTATTCCAGAATAAAAGGTTTTAGAAGTGCAGTTTTTAAGCCTTTATAGACTGGGTCTAAATATTTTTGTGCATGAAATTAAATGTAAATAGTTTCTGACTTTATTTAATATGCATGATTGTTAGCATAAGGTAAGAAACATAAACTATGTAGAATTAGAATCCCCATTGTTGGCACCCATCAGAATGATGGTCTTTAGCTTCATTATCCCTGGATGGATGTTTAGAGTCCATGTTGGGTGAAAATGATGGGAAGTGTAATCCAATTTACTTGGAAGCTACCAAGTTAGCAAAAGATTAGATACAAAGTGTGAATAAATTAAAAGATTTGGTTCTTCCTCATTCTTGCTTAGCAAAATGCAGGTAATAAAATACTAGTTTTATTTGTTGAGCAGAATATTTCTCTTCATCTGCATTATCTACTTCCCCAACCATACAAAGCTGCAAGAAAGTTCAGCAATTTCTCTTTGTATCAAGGTTGACAAATCACTTTCTTTTAAATTTCTACTTTCCAGTCAGATATGGAAAAATAGTACGGTAACAATTGCTCAGCACATATCCCAATTTCCTTTCATATTAGAGAAACTATAACTAAACTATATAGTTATACCTATTATCTTGTAAGTGATTGACAAATCAAATAAATAAATAAAATGTTCATTGTGCCAATTAAGTATTTTTCCCCAAACAGCTACAATTTACCTGGCAAAACACAGCCTTTTCATTTTCTCAAGAGCACTCCCCACCACCAGGAAAGCAGCTGTTATTTCTCTTTCTGGAAATCCCTAGATTACCCTTACATTGCTATCTCTTCTATCACTGCCGTGACTTGTCTTCTTCTTGGGCTCCTTCAATTATTCACAGAATCTAATTAAGATTCTATTTCTTCTTTTAAAAATTATGATCTACTCTGTACAGTTTCCAACATTTCAATAACAGGACAGGTCTTAAACTTTATATGTATTAAAAGCCAGGGACAGCAGAATAATAATAATAATAATATACTGTGTGCTGATAGATTCTGGCCTGATTTAATTCCCAAATGTCTGATAAGTACAAATGAAAAATCTCCCTTTAGATTGTTGAAAAAAAGAATTCCAGATGTTGGAGACTTTGAATAGAAAGGAATTTGGAATTGGTTTTGTTTTTTCTTTATGTTGGTCAGAAATTCCTGGGCTGGCCATGTGCTCAAAATCACCCTGGCCTTAATTCCAAATCCACTTGCCAGCTCAACCTATATTTTGTGTATCTAATAATACAATTGATAGCTCTTAGGTTTCACACCACTAATGCTGCTCACCCTATAACAGAGACTCTGCTTTCAGAACTGGAACTTCTCCTGGATTAGGAGAGGCTGTCATTTGGTGTCAGCTAAAAAAGTTACAGGTAGTCCTTGATTTACGACCAAAATTGAACCTAAAATTTCTGTTGTTAAGTGAGAGATTTGTTAAGTGAGTTTTGCCCCATTTTACGACCTTTCTTGCTACAGTTGTTAAGTGAACCACTGCAGGGATTAAATTAGTAACCCAATTGTATAGTGGCTTCCCCATTTTTACTTGTCAGAAAGTTTCAAAAGGTGATCACATGATCCGGGGACACCGCAACCGTCATAAATATGAATCAGTTGCCAAGAATCTAAATTTTGATCAGGTAAACATGGGGATGCTGCAAAGACCTAAGTGTAAACAGCTGATTTCAGTGCCATTGTAACTTTGAACTGTCACTAAATATACTGTTGTAAGTCAAGGACTACCTGTATTTTCTCAGTGGCTATAGACCAGAGACCAGGATCATGATATCAGAGAAGGCTTTTTTAGGGAGTTGTTTTGAGTTTGGGAAGGTATTATATTTAAATGGGTTTTTTGGAGGGTGTTTCCTCTCTAAGCAAAAGGTGGATACTTTATGGAGAGAACTGCAAAATTATAAGAAAGACTCAGTTGTGAAATAGTCCCAAAGTTTCTGCCTGTGCTGTTATCGAAATCCATTCAGAGAGAAAGAAAAGGTGGGTTGAAACCTTATTGCCTTTTGATTGGCAATACATAAGTCATCTCTCCGGAAACAGCTCCAGAGCCATTAACCCACGAACTTGAATTCCCGCAGCAGAGCAGAAGTTACACCTAGAGAAGAGGGCTCCCGCCAAAAGAGCCAGAAGGCTGGGTAAGTGCTCCCTTCGGACGAGCCCCACAGAAAAGAGCCATTGCTATCCGGGGGGGGGGGGGTCGCCCTTCGCGGCATGTTGCGGCCCGGTGCTAACTAAGATTGCCGGGCTCCCGCCCACTTGCGGCTGCCCACCCTTTGCTTGCCAGCCGCTCCGTGGGTGGCCGCGGGTCAGCCGAGGCAGGCGGCGCAAGCCGTTCGAGGGGCGACACAGCGCGTGGCGCCCGGGTTACGGGATCCCCGGCGGAGCTTTTCTGATTGGGGGCCGGGAAAGGAAGAGGAAAAAGCCGCTTATTCCATCCGGGCGCAGAACCGCCAGGCGCAGGCATTGAAAAAGGTTGCGATGCGCTGAGGGGATTGGATGGGTGGGCTCGTCTCCAGCTTCTCTTCCGCTCTCTAGTTCATCGCGCCCGATTCCACCGACTCGACCCCCGCAACCACGGAGGAAAAAAAAACTCCAGAGCCGGTTGCTAGGCAGGCCGCACTCGTGACTCTTCAGCCCGCGCGGCGTTGGAAGATGCAACTTTCCCTTAAAAGGAGGGGGGGAACCTTTTGGAGGAACTCCGGCGGAGGTTGGCATCATCTTCATCATCATCAACAACAACAAACAAGGTTTAAAGGCGAGGGAGTGGGAAGAGGGCCACATGCATACACCCGTTTTGTATGATGCAGAAAGAATTTGCAGTAGCCGGAATGTAAGAGAATATAACGGAGTAGAGTAGAGCGAGAATCAGAGGTCGAGTCGCCCACCAACCTCCAAATACCTGGCATCTTAAGACCGTTACGTTGCTTGATTTCTTAAATGGTAGAGGTACAAACTCTTAACCCTCCTGCCCTTCTTGCTTCCGTTATTATAAATTCCATTCATTGCATCCACTTAAGTCTCCAGAAGGCATTGTGGCCGCGAAGTTGGGAAACTGCCTTTCAAACTTGCTCACCCTCTCCTTCAAATTCCGTTTTGAACGCGTTGCTTGTACCATGTTTTGAAATTGTTCTGCAATCTGCCAACAATCCGCAAGCATATTTCCTTAGAATAACCGCGTCCTTTTAAACACAGGCGTCGGACCATTCATACCTTATTCAGTTTTATACATTTGTTTGCTTTAAAACGATGTGGGGAAATACAGTGCATGGTAAAGCACATTCTTTTTTCATTTACTTAATGAAAGCATTGGCTTTAATTCCAATCTCATCAATTAAGGAGTATGCCTGTCTTTTATTGTGAAACTTTTCACAATATATACATTTTATAGAAATAATGGACTTTTTCTATCTATATACCCTCCCTTTAAAAAATGTGTTTTGCTAAGCATCATTTTTGATTCATTCCATCTATTTGCATGATCTTGTTCTTTACAAGGTCCTTCTGTGAGTCTATATTCTGAGTATTTGGACATAAACACAAAAGTAATTGGGGGCAGGGTGAAAGTGGAGAAAAAGAATAGATTTTAATTCACTTTGTAAAGTTTAACACTCAGAAAGTGAAAATAAAGTACATGAGGAGCATATTTGAATATCCAATGCTGGGGGGGGGGGAGAATCCAAATAAGATAAACATAGGGAACCAACGGGTGAAAATGTATTATGATACATTTACCTGGACATGGTAATCTCAGCTTGAGGGCTCTGGGATTTCTCCAGTCCCAGTTTGGTGAAGATACCCACCAGCACCATGATGGCCACCACACCACAAATAATGTATACAATCATGTTGGTCTTGTCCTTGGTAGGATTTTGAGGAGTCTCATCCACTCGAGGTGGTGGTTGGCCTGTGTTAACCCATTCTGGTGTCTCATAATTTGAACAACCACTTTGATCAAGTTTTCCACTTGTGAATTGGCAGCAGAAGCGGTAACCACAAGTCCCACAGCAAAAATTGTAGATCCCTGAATTGCAGTTAAATGGAGGATCCCACTGGCCCATCACATCATAATAACCAAGGCACCGATCTCCCCCAGAGATGGACTCTGTGGGGGCTACAATTGTGTCCTCTAAGATGGGACCCGAAGTGATATTGTCTTTGACCTCCACCCGCAGTTCTGACTCACGTTTCTGAGGATTAAGTGTTCCAGTCCAAACTTGTCCTGGGTCCATAAGAACTAAGCAATAGAATCCAAAAATACACCGTTCCATCTGTATGCCACTCCAGCTCACTACTAAAACGGCTTTCTCTTTCCAAGACTAACTTCCACAATAGAGAAGACCTTGTTTTGTTTAGCAATGCAAGAAGGAGGATTTTGAAAAATAATTCCAGTCAAAAATGGAAAGATAATACATTTCTTTGTTAAACCACTTCTAGTAGACAAAAGATAAGTCAACCTCTTGGTTTTTTTTTCTCCAAAGCAAATGGCACAATTAAAATAAATCCTCTACAAAAAGAAAAAAGAGTGGGATGGATAGGAGTATGGTTGGAAGTTGAAAAAAGGAATGAGAGTAGAAGAAATCAATATAATGTATAGCATCATCAGAAGGCAATCTCACAATTTCCTGTGCAATTCCAAGAGGTGGTAGATGTGCAGTCCTCCTCTTCTTTTAATGTCAAATATTTGGCTTCTAATGTCATTTGAAAGGCTTTACTAAAAACCTTCATGGATCTTGAAATCCTGAAAGCAGCCCTTCCCTTTCTTCTTCCTTCTGTCCCCTTTCTCAGAGACACTCTGCTTTCTGGAGGGGAAAAAATTCTTTGCACTACTGAGAAGGGAGGGATTATCAAAGGGGAACAAAAGAAAGAAAACAGGAGGGGTGGAGGGGGAGAGAAGGAGAGAGAGTATAGGAGGAATAAAAGCTGTTCTTACTTCGCTTTGAAGTCAGATCCACAAGTGCCTGATCATTTCCAAAGGAGATCAGAGCAGAATCTTCGGGTTTTCATCCTCCATGTAGAATTTGGGTAAGACCCAGAGATTGTTGCCATCAGGCCAGGTTGGATTCAAGGGGATGGCAACAGTGACAGTGCCCAATGATGCTAGTGCTCAAGTGTGAAGAGCAAGTGAACAGCTGGCCACTTTCTCCTCTGCCTGCCTCTTCCAGGCAGTGTACTAGTAGGGGAGAAACTGTCCAGCGTGTCACCAGGATAATCCTTTATAGGGGCAGAACAGGAATAGCTATGCTTATGAAAAAACTCTCTGACATTATAGTATCTGTCTGGCAGCATTGCTGTTGCTCTTTCATGTTTGAGAACAGAATTGTAAATGTACATTTTTAAAAACATTTTGTTTCCCATTTATAGATTGACTGTTGTGAAAATAAAAATCAGTTTTTGATACTTTTTAGGACTAAAGAGTATTCTGTGAATAGAATGTGAGAAGAATGGGTATGTATGTATCTATGTATATATGTGCATGTAGGTGTATGTGTGTGTGTGAGAGAGTGTGTATGTCTGTGTCTGTATATACATATCTACATATCTACAGCAATGTTTCTCAACCTTGGCAACTTTAAGATGGGTTGGCTTCAATTCACAGAATTCCCGAGCCAGCATGGGAGTTGAGGTACATCCATCCTGAAGTTGTCAAAGTTGAGAATTACTGATCTAGACTATGGTATAACTTTCGAGCCAACTAAAAAGGTAATAACAGAGCTGGGTGCTGTACAATATCACCACAATCAAGGAAATTCTTTCTCCTGATTTCTTCCTTGACATTAATATATGACTTTATATATTGGCCACTATCCCAGCACTTGGAGCAATATAAAAGCGGGCATTGAAGCCACAGGAGAATCACATAGTTTGCCAGGTAATAATCCTGTAATGCATTTTGAGAACACTTCCCAGTCTATTACCGGATACCAGTTGCAATGAAAAAAGGAGAACCTGTTGTTTATTCTTGTTTTCTCTCTGCAAAATATTGTTTTCAGGATATGAGGGGAGAGGGGAAATCCCAAGTCAAATATAAGTTTTAAAAAATGAGTAAAATTTTCTATTTTGATCTTTATTCCAGCAAGGCTCAAACAGAATTTTAGAATGGAAGCTTGGTCAGAATAATGGTCAGAATAGTCATAAATGATTGAAGGATAATTTCAGTCCAGGGAAAATGCACATATTAAATATTTATCCACGTACTAATTTATATACATTTTTATTGAAAAAGAATTTTGTATAGGTTTAAAACTACAAAAACATAAAAAGAAAATTAGAATAAATAGAAAGATATGCAAATATAAAAGAAAAACTAAAAATCAGTAAAAGTCAAAGAAAAAGACAAAAGAAAAAGAAAAATGAGATTAAAAAAGAAAAATATTGAAAGAAGCAGCTTCCAATCTTCTTTGCAGCAGATTTCCTCCCCCCGAAATTACAAAATATAGTTCCCTTCTTCCCATAAACAATATCTTTTAATTAGTAAATCCCCAAATCATCAATTCATTTTTGTCCATTTTCAACAAGCCTATGAAGGATTTCTGGTGTTTTGCAAAATATTTTTCCTCTCTAATCAAAAGGCCAATTTAGCTATTTCAAGCAGTTCTACTATCCTAACAGCCCATTCCTCCATTGTGGATATTTCTGTATTTTTCCATTTTTGCGTATATAGTAGCTTCATGCAATTACCATATGTAAAACTAATCATGTGTCTTTTCTAATTGGCTGTCCATAAGTCTTGGATTCTTTAAATTTCAAAATTTTTATTAGTTTTCAAAACATAAAATACAGAAATACGAAGAAAAGTGAAAATACTGGGAAAATAAGGGAGGAAAAGGAGAAAAGAGAAAAGTGTAAACGGGAAAAAGAAAAAAAGTCATTGACTTCCTTTTGATGCAGTTGGAATAAGGTAATAATATGAAACCTCAACTTTTTACTTTTATATAATAATTAGCTTGATACCCATGATTCGCTATGAAACTATGTGGTCGGGCTTAGTTTTTTGGGAGGAAAATAAGGGGGGGAAATTCTGCCTGTGCCTACCAGCATCCATCGGTATTCATCTGGCTAGTGTCCTGTCAGTGTGTGGGAGAGTTGAGGGCTGTTTGGAAACTGAAACAGTATTTGCTATGTGAGCAAGAAGGAGGAGACAGCAAGGAGCCTGAGCGTGGCTTAGCTCAACTGTTCTGTACTAAAGCTGCTTGGTGCTGTGAAACTAAAACTGAAACTCCACTCCTCTGCTTGTGTTTTGCATTTGGAACAGATTTCTTTTCAGGTGGGGAAGGGGAGTAGCATCAGAACGTGTTAATAATAATATATGAAATAGCAGTGCTCTGATGGTCATTTTGAAAAATCCTTTCTTAGTGAGCACTTAGAAGCCAAGAGGAACATACGTGCCAAATTTCAAGTTTGTAGGCTTTACAATTCTGGAGATTTTGTGATGATGCATGAGTGGTATTTCGCTTTTATATAGAGAGATGTGAAATTATTTTGAAACCATTTAGCATTTTTATTTGTCAATATGACCCCAGATATTTTACCTTTTTCTCCACCTTAAAAACATGACATTTTAGTCAATATTCCAGAATCAGGTCATATTGTTAATAAGCATTGTTGTTTTCTGTTTGTTTATTTTGCAGCCCGCTAAAGCTCCAAACACATTTAATTTCTTCATCAAATATTTTATATTAGTTTTTGGATCTTGCAAAAATATATGTCATCAGCAAATGTTCTCAATTTGTAAACTTCCTTTTTTATATTTATACCTGTTCTTTTCTAATATTGCCTAATATCCCTAATCAAAACTTCCAATGCCAATATAAAGAGCGAGGGAAATAAGGGGCATCCTTGTCTTGTACCCTTTGGATTTCACAGGATTTAATAAAATCTCCATTAATAATAATCTTTGCTTGCTATGACATATAAACTGTTTTAACTCCTTGAATAAAATGCTCTCTGAAGTCCGTATCTTTCAATACTTTAACAAAAAAACCCAATCTAAGTTGTCAAAGGCCTTCTCTTCATCCAAACATATTAAAGCTGCTTGTTTCTCATGATATTGAAATATTCAATAATATTCAAAATAGTCTTTACATTGTCTCTTAACTGTCTTTTTTTGCAAAAAGCCAGATTGAGCTTCATGAGTATATGCCTGTAAAAATCTTCAATCTTTCTGCTAAAATTGCAGCAAAAAGTTTATAGTCATTATTTAATAATGAAATTGGTCTGTAGTTTTTGTATCCTCAGGACATCTTGACTCTCCTTTGGTAATAACGTAATATTAGCTTCTTTTCAGGTTTGAGGCATCTTTGCTCTCCATAATACTCCGTTCATTATATCCTTTAGTGGCTGAAGGAATTGATCCTCAAAGCTAATGTAATATTGGTTTGTAAGACCATCTGGACCTGGTTTCAGTTTTTTTAATAGCTTCTGATATTTTAAAGGTAGTTACGGGATCACTTAGAATTTTTTTCTGAGTTTGTGAAAGTTTAGGTAAGCATTGTCTTAGCAGATTATCGTCTGTTTTATGCATGTTAAGTTTCTACTTCTTGTGGAGATTGGAATAGAAATTATGAAAGGACTTTTTAATAAGATCATTATCTGTTATTACAATATCACCTTCATAAATTTTCTCACTCATTCCCTTTCCTTTCTTAATTTATATGCCAACCATCTTCCTGGTTTATTTGCAAAATAAAAATGTCTTTGTTTCACATAATTCAGTTTAGTTTCTATTTCTTTTAACTGTTAACATAGACAATTGTTGATTTAATAATTTAATTTGATGTAAAAATTTTGAGTTCATAGGTGTCTTTTTAAATTCAATTTCTTTCTGTTTAATTTTATCCAATATCTTTTGCATCTTTTCCTGGAATATTTTTCTTCTCTAGATGACTATGTTGTGTAAAATAGCCCCTCATAATTACTTTACTACTGGTAGCATCCCAAACAGTCATCAAATTTGCCCCTTCACCCAGGCGATTATAAAAATATTCATTTCTTTTTTACAGTCCTTTACAATCATCTCCTTTTGAAAAAATAGATTCATTTACTATCCATCTATATTTAAGCTCTTTTTTCTAAGCATCAAAAGAACTGGGTTATGATCAGAGAAAGAGTTGGATAAAATATCAACTTGTAAAATGTTATTTGCAACACTTTTAGAGATCCATATTGTAACGATTCTCAACAAAGATTTATGTTGTTCCGAGAAAAAAAAATCTCTAGCAGATTCATTTCTTTGCCTCCACAAATCTATCAATGCTAAATTGTCCATCATCTCAAAAAAAGTCTTTGGAAATTTACCCTGAGGAAGTTTAATCCCTTTAGTAGAAATTATATCCAAAACTGAAGAAATCACTCCATTTCTGTCCCCCAAAATAAACCAATTTTCCTAAGAAAAAGGTAATAGTCGATCCATAAGATATTCAAAAAGTTTACTTTATCATCATTTGGCACATAAAGTCCAATTAGTATTGATTTTATTCCATTAAGCTCCATTTCCACAGCTACAAATTTACCATACTCATCTGATAGAATTAACTTGATTTTATACATAGAATGGCTCCATTAATCTTTTTTAACCAGCTGACATAAATTCCTTCCCTAATCTTTTAATTATTAAACATTTCTTATCTTGTATCTAAATGTGTGTTTTTTGAAGACAGATTATGAAGTATTTTTTACACTTAAATGGGGCATCATTATTCTGCCCCATTAATATTCAATATTATAATATTATTTTCCATCTTTAGATAATGTGGCAAGTCCATGTGCAGCCATCTCAACTGCCTCTTCTTCTTTGATAACAGGTTTTTTAGGTCGATCTACCTCTAATTGCTTGTTTGGATCCATTTCTTCAGCTGAGTCCAAAATTAGTTTATGTTTAATCATGAAATACTTGGCTTTTTCTTTAGAATTCAGTCTGAATCTTTGCTCTAGGTAGGTATATCATTCCTTCAGGTTTATCCCAGCAAAAGGCAATTTTTCTCCAGGATATCTGTGAGGAAAGACTAAACTTTCCTTTTTTTCAAGATTCTGACAGGGATTTCCTTCAAAACAATTATATCTATATTTTCCATTCTTAATTTAGATTTGAAGTGGTAGTCCAAAACATAATCTCTCGTTTTTCCTACAAAATGAAACTATCTCTTGGTAATTCTCACAAGTCCTGGTTTCAAGTGAATATTAAAAATTTAAAGTCTGTGCATCATCATACATATTGGTCTCCAGGATTTTTTCACAAATGTATGATGTATGATAAAATGACCCTTTGTGTTTTTCACATTTCCCATATATAAACTTAGACAATTAATTATCACAAGATATTGTTATGATTTAGGATTGAAGTACAAATTCATCAGATATGAATTGTAGTTCCAATCATGGCCTTGTCATTCCAAGAGGTCCCTTAGCTAGTATTATAATGAGCAACTATACATATTTCCTCCTTTTTTCTCCCATGGGGACCATAATGGCAAAAAAGCCTGTTTCTCAATGAGTGGAGAGAGGGGGCTAAATTTTTATCAGCTGTTGATAAGCTTATTGATCAGCCTTAATAACATGATCCTTCAGGACACCACATCTTCTTAATTGTGACAATTACTTAATGCCATACTGATGAATGGAAATAAATTTATTGAAATATTCAGCTTAAAGTAACCTATTATGAAATGTAGTCTTTGACTTATCACGACCACAAAAGACCCTGGAAAATTCATCGTTAAGTGGTATGGTTGTGAAATGAGGCATCTTAATTTCTTCACTAAGTAAGTGCATCTAAGGAAGATTCAAGTCTGTCTCAGCTTGAACTGTGGAAAGGCCCTTCTAGCCATGACTACTACCTTTTCTTCAGGTAGGTGTTGTCAGTCTAGATATCCTGATTTTTTATTTCAGAAGTATTCTTAGAATAAACATATGGCAACTTGGACTGCTTAGTGCTTTGTCTGGAAGTGTGCCATTTTATCACGAGAAAAGACAAAAATAAATGGCAATAGTATGGAGCATCTTGGGGAGTTAACAAGAGGAGAATGACTTAGGCATCTGGAAAGCAAAAATATGTTTAGTAACTAACCACTTCTAGCTTCCTTCATGGCACTTATTTAGTGAGAATACCTATGATCTGTTTTCAGAATTCTAAATGTATGATATACAAAAAGTTGGGGACCTTGGAATTTCCTTAGTTGGCAGCAATGGAGAAGCTTAATCCAAAAGTTTCCCCATATCTTTCTAGGCTTTGGGTGCTACAGAGCAGTGTTTTTCAAACGCAGCAAATTTAAGGTGTGTGGGCTTCAATTCCCAGAATTCCCCACTAGCCACACTGGCTGAGGAATTCTGGTAGTTGAAGTCCACACATCTTAAATTTGCCAAGTATGAGAAACACAGCTATAGTCAATGACAATGATGAAAGGATAACAGGCCCTGTAAAGACTGAGGATTCCAATAAACTTCCTAGGTTGATCAAAGATTTAAAAGCTAAGCACACTATAGCAGGGGTTGCCAACCTTTTGGACCTCAGGGACCACCAAACTCATAATTTTAAATCCCGCAGACCTGGGAAAATCCCCCAAAAAGTCTTCAGAAAAATTCCCCACCCCATTTTTCTACCGATTGATCATTCTTTATTTGAGATCACAGGATACCGTCTCCAGGTCTGTTCTCAGGGAGAGAGAGAGAGAGAGAGAGAGAGAGAGAGAGAGAGATTTTTCGCTTCATGCAAGGAAAGCAGCAGAAGCAGCCGAAGTCTTTCTTTCTCTCCCCCAAACTCCACCAGAATGATGCAACCTCTTGGAGCAGGATGCCTTGCAGGATCCCAAAGACTTATTTCTGGCAGAATTTGGGGGAGAGAAAAAAAGACTTTTGCTGCTTTCCTTGTGTGCAGCCAAAAGCAGAAGAAGAAAGAAATGGAAAGAAGCAGCCCAGTGGCCAGACCAAATGCGTGGGGCACATGGGGCAAGTTCCCCCCCTCCCCTCAGTACCTCGTGTTGTTCGCAATGCAAGCGACACAAGCCTTGTGTTCCCGTGGGCCATGTGGGCGGCATAGCCTTGTGTTCCAGCGCAGCCTGGATTAATTGCTTTGCAGGGTGCTTTGGGGGTGACATTTCTCTGTGGACCAGCAAAATTTTCTCACGGACCACCAGTGGTCCCTGGCCCACTGGTTGGCAATCACTGCATTATAGCATGGACAAATAATAATTATGTTTATTACTTCAAGTAGATTAATGATTAATCTAACAACAGGCTTCAACCAGGTATAGGCACTGAGCTCTCCTGAATGTGATAGTTTCTTTTGCTAAAGACTGGGACTTAGCCTCTAAGCAATAATACCAATATGCTCTTTTGCTTTGAATTTAATTGTTGATCTCTAATTGCCTTTCCACTGAATACAGATATCATGATGGGCGGTTGGGCATCTGTAGAGGGGAAGGGGGACAAATTATGAAATATATTTGATAGTGTCATCACACAGATATTGTGAGATGTGAGTACATAATTGTAATATTTACACAGTGACATCACCATGCGCAGGTCATTAATTTAACATCAATTAGATTTGCTGTGTGTGCCATTATGTATGCAATAATATAAGAGACCTTATGTGAGCATGTAAACAGACGGTGAGCCAAATGATAATTTGATATTTATGTTTTTAATCAACTTTGACTCAATCTGAAAATGCTACCTACCTGCAAGAGAAGGAAAAACTCCTCTTCCACAGACATATCAACAAAGTGCTAATTTTTCTGCCGGAAATACTAAAACACTTTTGTGAATATTAACAGCCCTCTTAGCTCAGTAACACTGAATAATGCGGGACAAAAGAATTCAGCATGGGCCAGTTCAAAGAAGAAAAGCAGATCTTCACCCAGAACTCAAGGGAGTAAAAGAAAGCATACTGTACCAGTTGGATTATGGCTAATGAATAGGCAAGGAAATGGTCTTGAAATGAGATCAAATCTCTCTACTCCCATCCTCAAAGCTAGCTCTATTCATGTCATTTCTTGCATCCTTGCTAAACTCCATTGGGGCTGTAAAAGATGGGTTTAGCAGCTGACTAGTGGTTCAATGACCCATTAGTTTTGTTAGCTTCTTTCTTTCCACTGTCAGTCCCTGATGGCTGAATACAAGAACAAGCCTCCCATCCTGCACTTTAGTGTGCAATACTACACTACAGGGGCACATTTCTTTCTGATTCCAGCTGGTAATAAGTTTATACCCTGAAGCGTGGGGATTAATAGCTCTTGTTTCATTACTTTCTGCTGACCTAACATTCCCCAGCCAGTTTAGATGGTAGAAAAGACCATCCTTTCCTCCTGTTTCTTAGGAAAGCAGTTAGGTTGGGTTGATGGTGCAAAGCAGAAAGCTAGCTGATTGATATTCTTATGAATCTAGCCCTTTTGCCAGGATCCACTCTGACTTTTCAATTTAATCTTTTTTTTTCCTTCTTTTTTTTGCACTTTTCCAACCTAGCTTTCTAAGACTAGTTGGATATAGGAAACCATTTCTTTGTCCTTTGTCTTCCCAATCTGTGGAAACGTTTTCCATACGTAACTATGGCAAGTTGCCTCCTCATGTTTTAGAGTCAAGCCTAATGGTTTTTATTTTGTTGTGATCAAATGTCTACCAGTTCTACCAATAGATATATTTTATTTACCAATAGATAAATAATAATTGATTTCTATTATAAGAAAATTTTAATAGTGATATTTCTGTTTCTTTGAGGAAGCATTAAATATTTCTGCTAAACAAGACATAACAACATGGTTACCGCTCCATATCAATCTACTTTGCAATTCTCTTTTAAGGAGCATTTGAAGTTCTTTTACTTAGGACAATTCTGCTCTTCCTGCTTACCCCAGTGTGAAAAATAGGTCACCTACCACTTTGGGAGAGCAGGAACAGATGAGATCATCCTCCGTCTGCACCTAACCTGTTTGGAAGGTGACGTTCACCCTGGTTTTCTTGCTGAGCACCAGAAGGAGGAGTGCTTTCATTTCTCCTTGGTACAGGCAGGGCTGTCTGCTCTATTTGCTGCATTTCATTGCCTCTTGCACAAATGCCTCCACTCCATGGTAGGCATGTTCCCCCATCCCTGCTTTCAGTCTTCAATAGTCATTTGGCACTGGGTTGCTCCTAGCTGCTAATATGAAAGTTGGGTGAAATGCTGAATAGCATTTTTTATTTGGTTTGATTTTTAACAAGTGTATCAGAGCAATGGTAAAATGCTGGGCATTTCTTTTTCTTTTAATAGGTTCAGCCCAGAAACCTGGAAATACTGCCCATTTATCCTGTCCTCCTTTTTCTTCTTTCTGGAAGAAATTGACAAGAGTTCTGCCAACTTCCAGCCTCCAAGCGAGAGGAAGAAATGTCCCACCACCCTCCCACCCCCCCGCAGTCCTCAAAAGACCTGCCTAGAGAAGAGAAAGTAATTGCCGGTTGTGTTCTTGGCATGGCTGGCAAGTGAAAAGAAGCAGGGAATCCACCATCGAATGCCTTGTTAA